ATCTAGTACATCTACCAAATTTGATAGTTAAAGAATGCACAAGGTCATTTAATAACCGCATTATCTCCAATTAATACGTCTTTCGTTTCAAAGTAAATATGTTGTATTAGTCATTGCTCTGCAGTCAATAAGACAGTCACATTCACAATCGCTTGTTAGCGCCTGCTATATAACCATTTGATCAGCCTATATGGTGTTTATTTCCAGTACAGCAGCAGTTTGTGCAATTTATGCATTCCTGATTGCTTTGGTAGCATACGTCGTGGAAGTAACCACAGTGTCAAAACCCTACAGTCAGCAGTGAAGCTGTGGCTTTACAGTGATGTTAATACACTCATTGATGCACCACATACACACACAAATGGCTGAATTTGTATGTAATTGATTATTGTCACAACATTAACAAATTCTATTGAACTTTGCCCACATGAACGTACGCAGCGAGTCGGTCATCAACGAAGCTGTTAGCTTCGATTCGCAAAGATCAACACTAAAGTAAGGGGCTGTCTGCCTGTACAGGCACAAATATCATCTACGCTTTTATGGTTGCTAGTCGCGAACTCGAAAGGGTCTCCATCTTTGAATTGGATTACCACGATGGCAAATACGTGCCCGAGTTTTCGCACATGTCCCAGTTAGAAATTGTAGTTTGCTAGTAAAATCTTACTTTGATGCCATGTGGACTGAAACGGCAACTGCTATTGGTATCTCTTTAGTCGTTACGCAACTAGTATCCTCCAACACTGAAGGAGTTCAAATGAGATTTCATATGCCCATCAAAACAATGGATTTTATCCTTGAGTCAAGTTAGTAAGGGAACATTTTATAGAAATTCCATGAATCTAGCAGCGTTTGAGTGCAAAATTTCACGGATATTAATTAAAGACAGTAGTCTCATAAATTAAATGAACATAAGGTGCTGCGAAGCATTTCCTTTGTTTTTCTCGTTGTGCCACATTAGGCAATCTACCATTGGTTGATAGCCCAGATATCCCAGGTAACTTCATCGCAGTCGCCACAAGCACTGCCTTTTCAGGTGTTAGCATGGCTATCAGTCAAGCGTCCAGTAAGTCGACACCGACTGAACCGTCGTTCACGGAACAAAATATATAGCAGATAATTTATGTTTTTAAGCTTTCTATTTAATACAAAGCCATGATAGGATATGCCTAGGTGCACAAAATTGGATGCAATGAAAAAGTAGCAAACTTCTGGGTAATCATTTCACAAAGTGTCTTGTGACTAGTCGCATAGTAAGCCTGCTCCCATCTGTCACATAGTTTCACGTCTTTCACTTCGCCTAGCATAGTCAGCACACATTCATTCTAATCGTAACAACGCAACGCGTTAATTGAACATAGGTTTACGGAAGTATTTCCTAATGGAAGTAATTTGTGCTATCCAAGTTGATTTAACAGGTTTCGTGCTTCCATCTCGATGCGCCACACCGTTGTTTTAAACAGTTTTAACTGCTGTGACACTGAGAGCCATCAAGTATTCTCTCCGCTATCCGCTGATTCTAGAATTACATTCATAGGATCATTCCTATGGAAGCAACGACTCAATCTGGCTATTATTCACCCAAAGGAGCCAATTCCAGCGTCGTTGGCTTACAGGAAGCAGTGTAGATCAAGAAGCTAGACATACTCCTTGTACACGTATCCTTTTGGTGAGAAAATTACCCAAAGTAAACCATGTTGAGCGTGCGACTGGAAAAACACGCAATCGTCACTTGCCCTCTTTCTCACTTGACCAGACAGGACAGCCTTCCTTTGCAACGATGGCCCGCAATGGAACTGAGTCCGTTTAACAGGAAAGATGGTGAGCATAGTTGTGCACGAATAGTCAAAATAGAGACTATCTGTGTATTTTACGACCTTCTGTTTTACCTCCTGTGCTGGTGTAAGTGAGCTAAATGTAAGAGAAAATCAACCTGATTTATACGTCTTAGTTTTGCCAAAATTGCAGAGCAATCCCAATGCTCAGTTGTATAATATCGCGCGTGAACATTTTCAAAAGCTGACAGAAACAGCCCAGCAGATGGCGAGTTACAGAGCTTTAACATTAGCAACTAACGATAATGATCTTATCCTAAAGGAAGCTTCTCAGGGTTCTGTCCCTTAGTCGAAGACTGAAGTCAGTCTTACTAACCGCCTAACAGCATCTGCGCCACTTACTCCAAAAATTACTAAATATTTAAGTAGGAACCCAACTGCGGCTAGTATTTCACCCCAGATGCCATATCTCAAGGGTTGGTCAGAGAACAGGCCGTCCAGAGCCCATTAAACTAATCATCGATTGCCTCGATAAAAGCACTTAAAGTGACAGCCGTACGTCCACTTTCTGGACCAATCATGAGTGATGCAACGCCCTTTACACAGCATTCTTTAGTGCCAGCTAAGCAATCCAAGTTCCCAGCCGCGACACTCAAACTGACATTCACTAAACAGAACAGCAGTGCATTCCTGAGTACAGAGCTTGCACAAAGGACGTTCACCACACTGGTAATGCACTCTTCTGAGCAAAAACCCTTCCATCGTCAAAGGAGCTGCGTTATTTCTGAGGAGCAGAACGCGCAAATGCATGTCCATGAGGTACTTAGCATGGAGAACACAGAAGGAGTTCCGGTAACCAGAAATCCGGATTGCCTATATTGCACAGCTCAATTCTGTGTTAGTCTGATCCGCGACGACAATGTGACATATCAGCAGTAGTTAATGAAGAGATGCTGCACTAATCTATAACTGCTATACAAGCATGTTAATGGCCGTCGTAAGGTGCAACGCGGAATTTCAGCACTGATCAAAAACGAAGGGTGCAAGCGATCAGCAACGGAAGCAAACGATCTATTACAGTTCCATTATTCACCAACGACGAAGAGAGTAACGGGTCCAACGGTGGTCTCTTTCTCTAGTTTCTCACCGTCAACTTTATCCAACATGACATTTACTCTATAAAAGCTGTCAAGGAAACTGCTATCTCTGCATATCCACAGCTCTCTTGGTGTCGATAACATTCAACTGAAGGCTTTATAGGCAGCAGCTAGGAATCCGGTGGAACCTGCGCCTATGTTCTATAGGGCTTTATGGAGAAGCAGTATATCCGAACACTATGGAAGAGGACTGACATCACTCCCTTTCATACGGTAGGTAGTTGAAACCGACACAACTACTTACCATTCGATAACGCTACTCCCGGTACTTTCCAAAGTGATGGAGTCTATCATTGCTGATGCACTTACGCATAACTAGCAACTCAAAACGTCAGAGCAACATGGCTCCCAAAAAACGCTCAAGCATTACAAATCTGTTGATTGCGCGCAGTAACTGGACTGAAGCAATTGATGGTGGAGCAGGAGTCCATGTCATTTACTTACGCTTCTCAAAAGCGTTCGATCGCTTAGACCACCAAATTCTCCTTCATCACCTTGAGCTCTACGGCACTTGTGGCCCAATGTTGCGTTAGATAGACAATTTCCTGCAAGAACCTTGTTTGGATTTGAGAGTAACAGAATCCCTGGCCTACGCAATTGTGATAGAGTGCGGCGTACCACAAGACTTGGTGATTTGGCCCCGGCTATTTTTATGTTTCAATGGTTATCAGCCGAGGAAAATTACTTCAAATTTTCTATTCTCCGTCGATGATTTCTAGTAAAGGCGAGGGATCAGATAACCGATGGGCCATTAGAAGCTCCAGCGTGGCCTCATCAGGATTTTAAACTGACCATTTATGAATACACTAGTGTGTTAATGGTGAAAATATGTTACGCTGTTCCATTTTACCATAGGCATGACTACGTATATAGACTGAGGTCAAATGTATTACAAACAAATTCCCCAGAACGCGACCTTCGTGTTCGCAATCAAAATAACCTTAGCTGTTCAAGACAGCCAAGGGCAGATGCCAAAAGAACAAACCGGAACGTCGGCTTGCTGCGAAGAGCATCCATTATATGCGAGTTATCCACCTTGCCCTTGATGCACAATTCGTACATGCGCACTAACGTTCAGTACGCTATCCAAGCTTGGCAAGCTTGCTTGAATTGTGACTTAGAATTGTCTGAGAAACCACAACGAATGGCCACAAATAACGTCAAGGGCCTACGAAATCTCTCCTACCAACAAAGTCTGAATTCCCTGGGAGTTTTCAGTGGCAGCTAGAGGAGACTGCGCGACGAGCTAATATTAGTCTACCAAATATTGGGTGACCCTAATCACAAATACCGTCACAAGCTGAAACTTTCCATAACACCAATCTCAGAGGTAACAGTCTAAAATTAAGTACACAGTATAGCCGCCTGAAATGCAGGTGGAAATATTTTCCTCTTTGGGTTTAGCAACCCTGGAACTCTCTCATAAACTTTATTGTCACCACCCACATGTAGGGTCATTTCAAAGGACGATTAGGTCTTGCGCCTGGCCTCACTCACATCGTTGCCTATAATTTGCTATTTTGGAATAGAATAATTATCCCTTCAAGCCGGATTAAGATTTAACATTGACCTGAGGAGGCTGTACCGATATTAGTATGTCCGTTTTTGTTTTCCTCATGGAGTACATAAAGTAAAACTGTCCCCATATTGCCTCATCGTTCAAATTCAATTCCAAGATACACTAACATTATCCAGCAGCAAATATGCTAGCTAAACCCTTAAACAGATAAAGCACATATCATTTGATATTGTAATTGTATTAGCACCATCCTGCGGCACTTGTCAAGCAACCGTAATTTTACCGTGCAAAAAGTATTGTTCATTGTTCAAATACCCTGCTAATGCAAAGGTGCGTGGCATTCACGCCACTCCAAAGAATCGATATCCACAAATGAATTTTAAGTAAGCCCTAAGGTATTCAATTATATTTAATAAACTTGTTGGCAATTCTGCGAATTGTGTAGGATTTGAATGGATAGTTTTCAGTGATCTAAACAGTGTATAATTAATTATAACGATCTTTGCTGCCTATTACCAGAATATACAATGTGGATTAGGTACAACTTACCCGTGGAATAATTTCCTGCGAATCGCCAAGGCTCATCGTTGTGTTGAACAGTCAGCAATGCTGTGATACTGTTTCCAGGAGAAATGTGTGGCTTATTCTCCGGGTGCCGTTGGTATCCGATCCATCTGGACATACAATCGGGGCCGCCGAATACAAAGATCGCCATGTTATTAGAAAAATACTGGAAGAAAAACCAATGAATGACAGCTTCAAGTTGCTTAAGAATCACACCACTTATTCAATGTTATATACGTGCGTTGATCTTTTACAAAGTAGGCGTTCGCGCACCTCACCACCGACCGCAACAAATAAACCATCTTTCCAGCTACTCTGAACAAATATCAAAGAGCTCATTGTGCGTACTAGGATGGAAGTGTCATATATTTTCGTCATGGACAAACCAGCCAACTAAACTTACTTCAATCAATGGGAAGCTCAGAGCAGCTTGATTATTGGAAGGAACACTAATCTGATAATTGCAGAACTTGTCACCAAAATCCTTGTCCGGGTACATTGGGTTGTGAATTGTTCCCCCCTTTTCGCCTTTGTGGACTTCGTGGCATGTTAGATCCACGTTTCTATCTACAACGCAAAAGCAATAATTAAATACTGATCCCTCGAGTTTTTTCGTATGAACAATTGACCCTCTTTTTTCGGAAGAATTTAAACAGTTTAACTTAATAACAATAATATTAGCCTTATTATTATTATTAATACTACTACTAATAATAATAATATGGTATCAGTCGTACGCCGTAACTGCTCTTCGTTCTCGCCCGACCACCACCAGTCGCGCGCGAGCTGAGTATACGGGGAGGACGCCCACAGCTACGCGGATTCGAAACGGGGACCTTATGTTTGCTACCTAGGTGCCCAGATATATCGGCCACCGACCACCGGCTTATTGTTCGGCTTTGAGGTAGCTATCTTGAAGATAGTTAATAAGGTGCAATCTTAGCAATAGCATTGGCCGAGCATTCTATACTGTGAACCCTTGGTCTAATTCAAAGCGCATGCTTCAATTGAAGTACACGGTGATGATTGCAAAACCCAACCATGAACTAAAAACATATGTTTATGTTGCTGGACTGAGTGTTCGCTGAGCTCGTCAGATTGACTGCAAACGTTTCGTCACCACTCGAGGTGACATCGTCAGTGCGCATGTAATTAGCAGAGTGGCGCGTACGAAGTGTCCATGTCGCAGCTGTTTAAGTGTTGCTTCTGAGATGTTAAGACATAGTAACCACCTTCCATTTTAACATCATGTCAAAGGCTAAGAACCGATGGAATAATGAAGATATCAAAACTTCTTCCGGATTTAAGCGTTCGCGCTGCGCTTCGATTTCTTAGGGAAGAAGTTTCGGGGGACATCCCAGACGCACTCGGCTCCCGAGCATGCTGTCTCTACGCGATGAGGGAAATTAATTCAAACCCGCTCTAAGAGTGAAGTGTTCTCGGGTTCGCAACCTTTAATTTCCAACCTGTCGTTTTAATAGGTAAGTAGAGGTTAGCCTAGTAACACAAAGCCACATGAATCAGCAGATAACTGAGGTAACCTATTCGCAAGCTACGAATATAATATTCACGGTTATGGTTTAAGTAAGAGCAACTTATGTGGATACAAATTTTGGAATATTCTTCATATTGTACAGACACATGCTTGTTCGATGTGAGCAGTTCACAGTTCCCGTTTATTTATGTCTCATGGAGTCTTATGGCCAACCTGCGCAATATGAAACTGTGCGCTGTGTAATGTATACAGTACACCAGTGAGCATTATGCGTACAAAGCCAAACAGACCTATAAAACGCAGACTAAGTACGAATTGCTTCATATAACTTGTGAATGCGATAGGCACTTGTGGATATTACGGAAAGGCGAGTTCTCTTGTATCTTCTAGTTTTACCAAATGGGAAAGCAAAACCGTTGCAGTACACTAGGGGTAAGCAGAGTTACGGAACTGCATTTGTTATTGTCAAGTGTTTGATATTACCAATCAAAGTTTTGACTACGTAAACACTGAGAAAATTTGTGGTCACAAGTATTGAAATGTATAGACGGCTAATTCGCGTGACAAGCTGTGACGGAATTGGAAGGAAATCATGTATAAGAAACATAAATGAACACAATTTGGTCAAATATAGTCCACTGTGTAATAAATGTAAACGTGTTCATAGTTATCTCTTCCCCCTAACTCATTTAAATTTATCTCAGGAACATTTGTGACAGGGTTACCCGACTTTTCAGGTAAGAAAAAGTGACATGTACAGTGCGCGCAACACGCTAGTTCCCTTTGTACTTATTGTTTGCCCCATATTCCCTTACAGGTTTGACCAGTTCTACGATAAAAGTGCGAGGCTGTCAACCTAGCAGGCAAGCATGTTTAATCCAGATCATCAGAGAATTTACTGCCCGATTACATACCAAAATTGATAGCCTTAATCTGATGTACATTTTGATTGAAATTATAAATTGCCGTCTTTAAATTTGCTCAAGTTAAAACTTCAAGATAGACACCTAGAGATTGCTAAACACAGCCTGGGTGCCTCACTTGAATGTTCCTCCGACTTACAGAGCATTAGGTTGGCCATCATAAACACTGCAAGCATTGCGCGTAAGTACTCCATGTTTCTCTCTCTTCACCAAGAGAAGGAAGCAAAGCAGTCGCTTACTTTATTTCTTCCACATCTCGACCTTGACAATGAATGACTACACAAACGCCGTTAATGATATGTACAGATTGTAACACAGTGACATCTACCTTCCAACGCTATAGGGTGCTCACTAAACAGCCAATGTCAATGGAGAGCTCGTATGTCTAGCTAACTAACGGCATGTCTGGACAATCATGGGCCTATATCGCAAGGGAACCATAAAGAAACAGCATATCAATGGAAAAATTCAAATGTAGACAAGACCCTAGGAACGTGAAGTTAGCCAATACATTTACAAAGTTTCCAGCTTATTAAACTGTGTATTTTTGTGTTCGGCGTGTTAATTACGTTAGCACATAGATTAACCGCCTACATAAATTTCGTGGAGGCGTGGTGGTGAGCACAGCGATAATTTGCGTTTTCTCGGCAACGAATAAACGAGTTGTGTCATGTGGTGCATATGGGACAGGGCATATTCAGGTTCCTTTTATTAGCAATGTTTAACATGGACATGAAATTGACACAAGCCAGATTTGCGTCCCACAACTGAGTAATTTGAGTCAGTGAAAGTTGCGACAACATTCCAAATCATAATTTTGCTGCCAGAGTTAACTGACGACTCTATGGTTTTTATGACCAAGAGTCGGGAGGTGGGGGAAAATGTGACTGTGGTTTTCCATAGCTGATAGGGCGGGATGAGGGCACCGTTAAGTGGCGATAACTTCCACTGTACACTCATATTGCTTTCAGCCGCCTTTGCTATGGAAAGTGGAAACTGTAGTTACTGTTTCAGTTATTTTTCGCTGCGAAGTCTCCAGTGCAACCATATAGAGTTTTAGCTAGGGCAGCCAGACCTGAATTGCTTACTGAACTTGAGGACTCATTTACACATTGAGCATCGTAAGAAGATGTGGGAAAGTGGACTGTATGAACGAATTCCGTAACAAGGGAACATGCTGGCTCATGGTTTTTGACGCCTTAGCGTGTTAAGTCGAACAGATGAGGTCATTTTGAATTATCGCATAGTGGTTTCACTTCTGGGAGACGGTGTTCACGATGTATTCTCCCAGCCCGTATGTGTCATTTGACTAATGGCGTTTGTACTATTCCGTTTTAGGCGGTCGCACATTTGATTTTGACCACTTATGTGCACTGTGCAGGTCTCGTTGTAATGCGTTGTGATGTTCCCGATGACCGATCATACTGTAGCGACAAGACAACGCGGCAATGATGCACGATCTTTATTGGTGTGAACACACACACTACCTAAGCACTCACACGGGCACACATTAATGGGTCAGGTTTCTTTCCCACGTCGCACCATCCCTCCTGGCCTCCGCTCGTGACACTTCTATGCTACTTCTGGGGAACGGGAACGCATCTTCTATGTCCGTTTCGCCCGTGTATCTTCGCTTCCACACCTCGGATTCTGACAAGCCCGAAGTCGTTCGATAGCGTGCGCTTTGCTTGACCGTGGGGTTGTCTCTTGAAGATGCGATACCGGTAGTTTTGTCCGATTTATTGCGTCTTCAACAAATTCCCCACCTGCTTTGCCTGCATCTGATCTGAGGTGCAAACTAGCGACCGCAAATGAAAGGGCATAAATTTTCTGACAGCATTACTACTTGGTGGTTGACAGCCCTGGTTGATTGGTTTTCGCAGTGCTCACATATTTGTCTTCCGCTGGAGGCCATAAACTTCCACTTGGCTCAAAGTTTGGAAACGTTTGCAAGTGTGTCTCTAATGAAGTAGAAAAGCTTGCGATATGGGGGTATAATATGATCCTCACGTTTTGGATCCAATTAATGGTGTGCGCTAATTTGCGCAAATTTAGCTGGCTTGAATGAGTGTTTACATACATTTTTGCAATGAGAATTATGGGAGTACATCTAAGTGATGTAAAACAGCAGAAAGAAAGCAACTGCTTAATACATACACACGTAATGGTAAGCGGCTTTAAATTTAGGTTTCAGTAAACACTGATGTAATCCAGGTAGTGATACGTATCATTTAGCGTGGTGAGGATTTTGATGTTGTGTTAAAACAAAAAGCAGTATGCAAGTTGATATGTTTTTGGCCCCATTAGGCGCTAATAATGCATATGCCATAATCCACTGTGAAAGCTAAGCACAATTTGTCTGCTGAATAGTGTGCCATTTTTAATTATCTAGCATTAGTTACTTGAATCATAGGAATAAAATGGTATACGAATCATGCTACACCTAACGGCACATAAGTGAGCAATTCGACCGTCTATCGAGTAAGTTATGTGAACCAGTTAATTCTCGCATCGCTTCCTACAATTAAGCGGCGTTGGTAGGCTATGCTAATTAAAGAATAGAAAGCATATTAACAAAACATTATGCATGTTTTCACAAAACAAAAAGTAATATGCATACTCTTCGGCGCTACAATACAATCGCATGCAGCTAACGCAAGTGATGACTAAGCTATTGACTACGAGGATATTTTTTGCCACAAAAGTTCCGCCTTAAGACGTTCCTCCGTATAGATGGGGCTTTCCCCTAAAACAAAGTTTTAGACTAATTTAACCAAGTGTATACAAAGCAAAATAGGACCGACCTGCTTTCGGTTAATTTGCTGTACGGCCGCTTCACTCTCTCCAAACACTAACTAGTCCGTGCGCTCTTGCTATCCATTTCGACGAGCGTAACTCAATGCTTTCCAACTCTTGGATCTAACTTGCGTGGAGCTTACTGTTACACCCGTTCTCAGATTTGGCATCTTCTTCCTTGTCCTTTGCTTGTGAAATTACATCACTCCCGAGTTTTTCGAGAATAATTTTTGTCTCATTCGGTAGAAGAAGCTGAGAATTCTCAAACGACTCTGCAACCATCCATACAGGCGTCACGGGACATTTTGCTTGGTTCGCCTACCAAACGTTGCGTCCGCGACACTCAGGGAAGCTTGCCAACGCCCTGGGCGCATCGTGTAACGCAACCCGATGAATACACGGCGCGCCTTCGTGTGCGTGTCGCCTAATCCGGTAATCTGCGCGTGCCCGCGAGAATGTGAGAGGCATTGTGACAGCCATCTGCCTCGGCGGGCTGAACTAGACGCCGGATCGCAAGTTCACATGTCAACAAGGGCGTTACTAACCGATCCGGTGTGCATAGCTGCGCCTGAGGAAGGTACAAAAAATGATCAAAATGGGGGTTTCTTGTGGAAAGTACCAAATCTGTTTTCGTGCGAAAGGCCGGAAATTCAAGCCAAGAGCATGCAGGTTGATCCGCAACAGGCCAGGATCATTCTTGAACTGTGCGATGTGTGATACTGTTTCATTATTTGAAAACCGTAATTGCACGGTTCCAGAATTATGATAGACTTGCAGACGTACTTGAGGGAACTGGACACAAAAATCTCCTCCATAGGAAAAAGTATAACAAAATGTCTGACACAGCCCCCTCCACCTAACTCCGGTGCAAGCACAGGCCACAACGCCAAATGTTACACTAATAAAGTCGCGCCTGCAAACACTGTCAATAATTCAAATCGCCAAGCATTCCCGAACACTTACACCCCGCCAATTTAGAACAATTTCCCGCAAACCGAATTGCTTTGACCAGACTCTGCTGAAACCCAGAAAGCATGCAAATACCAGAGGTAGCTGGGCCGTTGTTTCATCAAACTGAACTATAAAATAAGTCCGCAGTGATGCCGTTACCACATCTATAAGTAATGTAAAAGGCAACGCTGCAGGGCGCAAGGACAAACAACTCGGCCTCCAAATTAGGGTTCATTGTAGTCGAGCGGACACTCAGAAAAAATTGGATACGCTAGTTATAATATGTACTGACGTTCCGCAGTCACCCTTAAATTGTTGAAAGGGAATGCAGGTGGATGACCTGTACCAACGGTATATTATTAGCAACAGATGTAATAGAGGGATGCCACTATTATAGATATAGTAACGCTTGAAAAGATTGTCACCGGCACGGTTGGAGCACGCCTACTCTAACGGCCTGGAACGCTGACCAATCGAACGGATTTGCGCTGACCTGATGGCGTAGCTTAGCACCGGGTACGCGCTGGTGAGACGGAAATTGAGCCAGCGTAATAACCATCCGAGCCCCACGTATTCGGGTAGACGCTAAACACTCAGAAAGAACGCACACGAGAGGGGTTACGATATACGTGTGCCGATGACTTAGAAGCGAACGCTGCCTGGCTAACGACGCACACAAAATCAAGTGACCCGACAGAATCCCAACTGAGGCGAAGAGGAGAAAAGGCAAGTGCTCCTCTGAAGACTCTTTCACGACCAACAAAGGACGAATCACAGCCAATGCTATGGGTTATTAAGTTAAGGAAAACAGTTACCACGACGAGGTGGTAGTTTGCGAATGACCATTGTCAAAAGGTGCGCAGTTGGGCCGCGTCTCGGCGTAGCTGAACTCTGCTACATTGTGGGGAGGAATTGGATCTCGCTTTCCACAGCTATTCTGCCCAGGTTTCTGGCGCGTTTTTGTGGGGATATTTGACGGGTACGCAACAGGTTGATTGCAACTGGAAGAATGCCAATACCAGTGGTAACTGGGTTGTTGTTTCTTCAAGGTGAAATATAAAACATTTCCCTCACGCTATTCCCACACCCATAACTGATGTGATATGCAACGTTGCAGGACACAAGGACAAACCACTCGGTCTCCTAACTACGTTCCATTGTATTCTAAATGACATTCAGGAACAATTGGTCGCGCTAGCTTTTATATGTACCATCGTTCCGGAGTCCACATTGAATTGTTGAAAGTAAATGCAGGTGGATGACATGTACCAACGGTACACTATATGTAACCTCCTCGGCAATTTTGACTGAGTTCTCCAAATTGATTAGCTTCACCAGCCACTCGAATTCCAAAGATTATGACAAAGCGAGGCTTTTTCGGGTTGCGCTAAACTCTCTTGATGAAATGGATGCAGCGTTGCTTTTCACTGCACCTCTCCTTAACCAT